TTTTTTTTCAAAATATGTACTGAAATTTGAAATTTTTTCAACAAACATTTTAAAAAGTTACAGTATCAAAATTATTTCTTATTTTAAGTAGGAAGACTATTAGAGCATTTAAAAGTGTCTTTAATGCTTGAGTGATTTTAATGCTTTTTATCAAATGTACTTATTTTCTCATGGTGACAAAAAAAATTATCTACGTGAAAATTATTTTACAAAATCAATTTCTGAGTGATCTGTGTAGGGTGAGATTTGTTATGTAATTTTAAATTTAGCGGCGGCAGAATACCTAAAACAAATATTGAGTAGGTAGGTATATAGTTGTAGAGCGTACAACTAGATGGCGCTTGCATCTTTTACCGGCTACAGGTAATTTAACTCACTGTATTACCGATAATTCCTAGAAAAGGAAAGCAATAGAAGTTGGAGAAAGTGTCAACAGTTAGCGCTGTTAATGACCACGAAATCTGTTCAAGTTTCCTATCTATAGTATCATTTATCTAGGCTGCGAAAAGCGTGGTTGTGTGCGAGAGACAGACATGGTGTCTCACTCTAGCACGCACGCAATTGGTTGGAAATGAATACTCGCGCTCATTGGCTCCCGTCATTGAAGTGAAGAATAAGACAGATCTATTAACCTGTCTAAGCTGTAGTTACTTTACCATTATAAGCACATGAACTTAAATTTCATTTAACTCATTCAGCCTACAAATAACAATACAATGTTGCACAACAAAAACTAAATTAGCGTTTAAAACTTATTTCTAGGTCTTAAAATAACAAAATAGAAAAGTATAGTGTTACTTATATGTACAAGGGAACAGGTGGTAAAAATACTGTTCTTTCACACTTGCAACTTTCTCCTTCCGTTTGTTTCCTGTTAGTTCTGCGTCTCTTTCTGCTCTAAATTTAACGATATGGTCCACAATGTTCGGCGGAGACTATTGCTTACCATCAAATGCATGTAAAGATCCATGTTAACTGATTTAGTTCTCTTCTCGGATCGTGGATGGCTTCTCTGAGCACAGCTAGGCTTGCTCTTCTCAATACAAAGTTTCATTATTATAGCTTTTACAGGATATTCACAAAACAACTTCGAAAAACTTCATTCATTCAAGTGTCCTGTATTAACAGTGGAAAATATTTTTAAAGTATTTTTTCATTGTGTTAATTATTTTCCAGTCAATTTCATTGATTTCACTCATACAGGGTGCTCACAATAAGACAGCCGAATTATGTTTTTTTTATTATACCACAAATGAGTTTCATAACAAAATAAAACTTAAACATTACTATTTTCTATTATTTGTTGGGTCTTGTTTAATACATTTTATTCTTCAAAGTTACCCATAAAAAGAAATCAAGAGGCGTCAAGTCTGGAGCTCTTGACGGCCACTCAACTAACTCAACCGCAACATGAATAGGTGCTCCATTGGGTAGAGGTTTTGTCTTACATGATGAGGAAGTGCATGTACTGAATCCCAGAAATCATTTAAAATATTCAAAAAAATCTCTGCGTTTAGATTAATGTTAAAAAAAGGGCATGATTATTTGATAACATAAAATACCATAAAACACGTTAATTTTTTTAATTAAGATTTATGTAATAGGATTAGACAAGCAAGTCGACAAATAACACCACATTAGTTGAGGAGAGTTACTAGAAATAAGAGGAGACAAATTGAAGAGTGCATACCAAATGATGGTGGACTAATAGGAAATAGTAATAATTAAATATTATTATTAATGATAGTAGGCCGTAGAAAAGATCATGTCAAAAAATATATCAAAATAAAGTAAGCCTTTTTGAGTACTACAAAAAAAAATAATTTTGGAAATCAGTCAACGCCATCCTAAACACGAAGGTGTTCCGCTAAGTAAAACACACTGTATATACATCGTCATTGCATCTTCAAAATGCGACATGTATTTTTTCAAATTGTTCAGTGGAGGTAAACAACTATTTCTAGGCCTTTTTTTATTTAAAACTTGCAATTATTTTTACTTTTATCCGGATTGTGCAGCTTGATGTCGTTTATGAAAAATGCTTAAACTTAAAGCATTTTGCTGAAAACGACCATGTTTATACACATACATATTTTGAAAATTGCTACATATCTACATGGAAGGTAACATTAAATTACAAATGCTATATTGAAAATTGTATTATTATTTAAAATACACTTGTACACATTTAAGATTCACTCTGAATATTGACTCACTTAAATATAAATATATACATATTCGAATATTTGCGATCGGTGTCATATTGTAGTATTAAATGTGTGCACTATTGACTATATTTTGCACGATGCAGGAGGGGCGGTAATTCATACCAGCAAACGTTTTCTGTGCAACAATTGAGGTGCTTCAAAAACTGCTTATGGTTAATTATTAGCAAAACATACCGGTACAATTGCTTTTGAGAAGGCTCTGTATGCTTCAACATGTGACGTTTGACACATGTCCTGTATTTAGTTTCATAATCGCAGTCGTTACACTTGTACATTTGAATTTGAGAAGGATGTTTATGCTTCAGTTGGCACTGTTTGATATTACTCTTGTATTTGGTTTCGTAGACACAGTCCTTGCACCATTTGAACCCGTGAAGAATACTTATGTTTCAACTGGTGCTGCTTGATATATCACCTATATTTAGTTTCATAATCGCAGTTGTTACACCTGTCCATTAGAACTTGCAAAGGATCTTTATGCTTCAGTTGATGCTTTTTAATACAACTCCTATACATAGCTTTGAAATCACAGTTGTTACACCTATACATTTAAATTTGAGAAGGACCTTTATGTGTCAGTCGCTACATTTGTACATTTGAATTTGAGAAGGATCTATATGCTTCAGTAGTTTTGTAGTTACAGTCGTTGCACCTATACATTTGAACCCGTGAAGATTCCTCATGTATCAACTGATGCTGCTTGGTATGTAGCCTATATTTAGTTTCATAATCGCAGTTGTTACACTTATACATTTGGACCTCTGAAGGATCTTTATGCCTCAGTTGGTGCCGTTCGATAGTACTCCTGTATTTAGTTTCATAATCGCAGTCATTACACCTGTACATTTGAACTTGAGAAGGATTTTTATGTGTCAGTTGTTTGATATTCTTCTGGTATTTAGTTTCAAAATCGCAGTCGTTACACCTGTACAGTATTGTGCCTCTGAAGGATCTTTATGTGTCAGTTGGTGTGACTTGATATGTCTCTTGTATTTAGTTTCAAAATCGCAATTGTTACACCTGTACATTTGAACCTCTGAAGGATCTTTATGTGTCAGTTGGTGTGATTTGATATGACTCTTGTATTTAGTTTCATAATCGCAGTCATTACACCTGTACATTTGAACTTTCTTATGTGTCAGTTGATGCTTTTTGATATTCTTCTGGTATTTAGTTTCAAAATCGCAATCGTTACACCTGTACATTTGAACCTCTGAAGGATCTTTATGTGTCAGTTGGTGTGATTTGATATGACTCTTGTATTTAGTTTCATAATCGCAGTCGTTACACCTGTACATTTGAACTTTCTTATGTGTCAGTTGATGCTTTTTGATATTCTTCTGGTATTTAGTTTCAAAATCGCAGTCGTTACACCTGTACATTTGAACCTCTGAAGGATCTTTATGTGTCAGTTGGTGCAACTTGATACGTCTCTTGTATTTAGTTTCATAATAGCAATTGTTACACCTGTACATTTGAACCTCTGAAGGATCTTTATGTGTCAGTTGGTGTGATTTGATATGACTCTTGTATTTAGTTTCATAATCGCAGTCATTACACCTGTACATTTCAACTTGAGAAGGATTTTTATGTGTCAGTTGATGATTTTTGATATTCTTCTGGTATTTAGTTTCAAAATCGCAGTCGTTACACCTATACATTTGAACCTCTGTAGGATGTTTATGTGTCAGTTGGTGCTGTTTCATGGCATTCTTATATTTAGTTTTATAATCGCAGTGGTTACATTTGTGCATTTGAACCTGCGTAAGATCTTTTTGCTTCAGTTGGTGCCATTTGATATGATTCTTGTATTTAGTTTCGTAATCGCAGTCGTAACATCTTCGCATTTTGGCCTGTAAGGGATCACTATGTCTCCACAGGTGCCTTTGAAAAAATTTCCTACCTCTAGTTTGGTAAATAGGTTCATCAAATTTATACAATACTCTACACTCATGCTGGGTGTTCGTTTTGCATTTGCTTTCCGATCCATTCTCATGTTTACATCCATCCTCTTCCGCATCTTTACAGTCACTATTCTCGAATGGTTCAATATCCGAGCTCTGCAGTAGCGCATCCCTGAAAAAATTGCATGTACAATTCCATATCAGACAAAGGATACAAGAGTTATATGGAGAAAAACCAAAATTTTGTTTGCCAACATCGATGTTCTCTAGCGACAAAACAAAGCAGCTTGGCACAGAAGTAAGTTACATTGAAATATCATATTTTAGAGGCTTTGTGTGGGTTCTTATGTGAAACGGAAACTGTCAGTGGAAGACTCGTAAAATTCCACAAATAATAATTTCTGAAGACACACAGCTCAATCATTTGCATTTGAAGTTTTGAAATGAAGGTTTATATATCAGAGATTTGATCACGTGCTCCTAGAGAACTCCAAACAGTTATCTAATAACCGAATGATACAAGTTTCCCAGATCTTCCTGGCTAGATGAGCTGAGCCGTCTTCTTCAAGCAATATAGAGTAAATAATTCTCGATAGGAAAATGGTAAGTTCACAATTACTTAATGTGATTTTTATATCTAAATACAAAGCCTGTGACTCACATCAATTAGCCAAGAAAACCAATACCTTGGCTGCGCCACACAAAGAGAATATACAGAAAAAGCAAATATTTCAAAACAAAATTAATCAAATTTAAGCTAGTTTAAACAAGACACATAAATAATATTATTTATCTGAATTCAACACAAGAACATTTACAATGCAATTAAAAAGATTTCCTTGAAATTTTAATAACTGAGCAGAACGTAAAAGCTTTCCCATCTTATATTTATTAAAATGAAAATAAAACATTGTATTTTTTTTTTTTCATTTTGATATTAACGAGTTTGAAAGCTATACTGATTGTTGTCGAGATCTTATACTTTTTCAAAGTAAACTTATGATTCTTGAAAATTCTTTGCTTGTAACAAATGTGTCTATAATTTGTAGCAATTTGTGTATCACGAACCTTATAAACTGACATAGTAATTGATTGATTGAGGATGATACGACTCCTTTTTTGTAATACACCAATTTTATGGATTAAAAGTTTAATAATATACAGGCCTTCTACTATAAGAGGGCCACTCCTATGGATCTCGCTTAATATACGACGCACGTCAAAAATGTCTGTTGCATTTTTCTAGGTCTTTACGCTCGTAAAAAAAAATTTGATATCCATGGCCAACTTTGTAAGTAATCATAAAAGAACCAGAGTTTAGGGCCGAAAGTTTAGGGCCGTCTGACTTTTTTATTTTAAGAGATACTTAGAGAAAACTTATTTTCATAAAATTTCATGGCAAAATTGATAACTCTCACCTGGTGCAAACAGATTTTTAAAACATCGTATGTAATTTGCTGCGACCTCTACGCGGGCAAAAAAAATTGTCCTCGAAGACAGCTAGGGCTACAAAAATTTCTTGTTTTTCCTCTTTCGTGCGGTAACTACTTGTTGCCTTTATCTTTTACATATATTAAATTTTTTACAATCTTGGTATAAAAAATGTAAACAGTTTCGTGTTAAAGTAGAAATTGTTATAGACACGTTAACTACAAAAAAATTTAATAAATATAATGTACTTCTTTTAAGCAAAATACAGATTTTAGAAAAAAAACAAGCAAATATTTTTGTAGCCACAGCCTGCTTTGATGACAATTTTTTTTTGTCCGCGTAGAGGGCACTGCAAGTTACATACTTCAAAAATTTGTTTACACCAGGTGAAAGATATCAATTTTGCCATGAAATTTTATGAAAATAAGTTTTCTCTAAGTATCTCTTAAAATAAAAAATGTTAGACGGTCCTAAATTTTCAGCACTTTTCCGTTTTTTTTTATGATCACTCATAAAGTTAGCCATGGATATCAAATTTGATTTTTAGGAGCATAACAGCCTAAAAAAATGCAACAAAAAACATAAAGATTTTTTATTAAGCGAGATATATAGGACTGGCCCTCTTATAGTAGATAGATAATAGTAGGTAGTGATAATATCAGGACCAGGCACTGTCATTCTTTAAATTTTAAATCAATGCTAAACTAGTCTTCCCTTACCTACTTTCCTCATCTTCAGATTTTATGTCGACACATTCAGTTTTGATCGACAGTTCCATCTCGCTAATATCAAATTCCTTGTCCAGGTTTTCAGTCTTAACGAATAAATCAGATGGCGACGTATCTGTTCGACTTTCTGTCGCTGAATTATCACAAACATCTCTAATTTTTGCCTCTACTTCTAAGCATTCTCTAAGGAAACTGTTGTGGATACACAGAGAATCGAAACATTCCTTACATACAACGGGATCTTTGATGATATTTATATTCTGCAAATTTGTTTCATTAAATTACAAACAATGCAAGTATTTATTATTGTTCAAACCATTTGAGGAGTCAGTTTCTGAATTGCTTCGAGTTCCTCTTCATGTATGCGCATAAATTCATTTTTTATTAAGTTCATACACAATCGACATATTTTCTGACTATCTGAAATTGACTCGTTTCTCTTTTCCTTCCTGTACACTTCCCTTATGTCGAGCTGTAACATTTTTTCACAATCCACATGTGGAATAATTGTGTTATCAGTATTTAGACATGTCGACTTGAATTCGAATGCTGCATATAATTTTCTTCTGCAAGTGTTACATATAACATCTCTGCTCTCACCATCGAATTTCTGAAATGTATGCAACTTTAACCAAACAGGAAGAAAATAACTTTGGTAGAAATTAACAATTATTGTTAAGTCGCAACACACTCATCTAATATCTTCACTCACCAGTTTCAGCAAGAGAAGAACATCGAGAATATCTCTAATAACGTTTTCTATTACTTCAAAACTATTAACGATAACAGTTTTAAGGCAAAGCCTACAAGAAATTTCTTGAACGTCAGTCATTATATCCCTTGAAATGTAAATATACAACCGTGACTTGTGTCCGTTGTCTAACCTCAATTAAATCATTGGCTCTTTGGATGGAAGGCACCGAATGCACTGTTCACAACCTGAAGTGAGGCAAATATCGTAACTAACCGCCGCCTAAAATTACCGTAAATGGACCAGAATTATTCTATTTATCAAAATAATGATGTCTATAATGAATAAATAAATCATATTAAACATAATATTGATATTTATATTAATTTATATTATATGATGGACCATAGATAAGAGGTCTGTTCCAACAAGAGTCAGGGATTGGTTCCCAACCGTTTGAAATGTTTGGCCAGCTAAGTTCTAAATGTGTCTTCATTGAATATATCGCAAGAATTAGTTGGATGCACATTTCAAACAGTTCGGAACCAATTCCTCATGTTGGAACAGACCTATTAATTAACACGAGTCGGCAGTCGGCAAGACAGCACACATTACCCAAGAAGGAAGGAATGAGCCAATAGATGGCGCTGTTATCAAAAAGAAAGAATCATCGCATTACTGGCTGTCAGGGTAGGAATAAAGAGAATTCACAAGATTTGTATCATAATGGAAATTATCCTACAATCTGCGTGTGCTATCGTATATGGTACGTATGCAGGAAATTATATCAGAGTAATAAATTATTAGNCTTGAAATGTAAATATACAACCGTGACTTGTGTCCGTTGTCTAACCTCAATTAAATCATTGGCTCTTTGGATGGAAGGCACCGAATGCACTGTTCACAACCTGAAGTGAGGCAAATATCGTAACTAACCGCCGCCTAAAATTACCGTAAATGGACCAGAATTATTCTATTTATCAAAATAATGATGTCTATAATGAATAAATAAATCATATTAAACATAATATTGATATTTATATTATATGATGGACCATAGATAAGAGGTCTGTTCCAACAAGAGTCAGGGATTGGTTCCCAACCGTTTGAAATGTTTGGCCAGCTAAGTTCTAAATGTGTCTTCACTGAATATATCGCAAGAATTAGTTGGATGCACATTTCAAACAGTTCGGAACCAATTCCTCATGTTGGAACAGACCTATTAATTAACACGAGTCGGCAGTCGGCAAGACAGCACACATTACCCAAGAAGGAAGGAATGAGCCAATAGATGGCGCTGTTATCAAAAAGAAAGAATCATCGCATTATTGGCTGTCAGGGTAGGAATAAAGAGAATTCACAAGATTTGTATCATAATGGAAATTATCCTACAATCTGCGTGTGCTATCGTATATGGTACGTATGCAGGAAATTATATCAGAGTAATAAACTATTAGTCTGAGGAAATTATCGTATATGTACGATAATTATCGTGCGGTTACGAACACTGATGGAAGAAGTTAATGCTCTTCTTCCTCTTCTATTCTCGGACGAACTTGAATAATAAATTTTATTTTTTAATTCTTGAACGCAGATTTCGGATTACACGGGACAAAAATTGGTATTGTTTTGAACACCCCGTGTTGCCATTAATGACGACATGTCGCCATAATGACGACTTTTTACCTTCATTAGAACATGGCGGCGAATTTGCAAAAAGAAATCATTTTTGGCGACTTTTAGTTTTGGTAAATTTTTTGTTATTAAATAGAAAAATTAAAATTTAAAGTTATGATTTCTTATAAGCATACTATTTTTGCGTTTTATACAATATATAAACAAATGACGTCACAATTACTATCTTAAGCGGACAATTCTAAACGCACCACCTGAAATCCCGGGGCTTCCCGAAGCACGACGCCAGAATATATTCTATTGTTTCTATTACATCGTATTATGTGTACGGGTTAATATTTCAAAATATTAACAAAAATTGTTACAGCCATTTTAATTATTCTTCATGGAAATGCAGATGTTGAGGGAAAAAAAGGAAATAAAATGAGTACCGATTTATTAAGATATATGTGGAGAGTTAAGTTAGATTTAAAAAGAAATAGAGACTGTTGCTTATATAACTGAAAAATATTTTTAAAAAATGTGTAATATTTATAAACTTGAAAAGAACTGGAAAAAGTGTGTCCAAAATCAGACAGTGATTGATTGAATCAGATTAATTTGTTTATTTTTGTTTAATTTTTTAAAGCAATAACAGTTTACTTTGTTTATTTTTTGTTACATTTTTATAAACTAATAACGTATATTTCGGTTTGTTTTGAAAATAAAAAAAAAATTATTTAATAAGGCGTTTTTTTAATTCACCGATTGTTCCACCAGTTGAATAAAGAAAGCCCCATATCTGACAATTCCCTGCTTCAAACATTACGAAGGTGTGTCGACTTTTCATACCAATCGGTAGTGACTTTTTGCTTTCCTGCCCTGGCAACACTGTACACCACCCTAATTTGATTCTTCAGATCACGGCGGTATTGGTTTACATCTGAATATTTTATTTGTTTATTCTTGACTTGTATTTTGTATATAAAGAGACAGTTTAATTTGATGGTAATATGTACGAGGACGAAAAACTTATAATTTCCACATTTACATATGGTACTTATGAATCTGATATAAAAGTATGTGAGCAAATTTTGTACAGCTATATTGGAGTGCGCAGGAAGTAACAAATTATTTTGAAAATTTGTAATGTTAAAGGAAACTTATGTTACTTACCTTGTTTTTGCTTATTCTCTTAGACTCTTGCTCAGAAGCGAACTCTTCTACATTACAAAAACTGCATGACAATAAACAATAGTTAAATTTAGTTCCCAATCTATGAATTTATTTTAAATAGCTTTTTTTCATAGTTATTATTATTATTGTCTTTGATACTATTTTTATTTTAATAGCAAAAATGATTTTTTATGTATATAATTTTATTTGTAGAAAACAATTTGGAAAATTTAGAAGCATAACATAAAAAACCTATATTCCCTTACTCCTATACACAGGGTGTCTGCGAAAGATTGGGAAATATCGAAGCTGGAGATACTGGCGACCAAAATAAGTTGATTGAGTCAAATATGCCTTATGCAAATGTTGCTGGTTTCGAAGATAGAGGACGTTCAATGTGTGAATTTTATTTTGAAATTCCTCAATAATTTCCAAATTTTTTAACTAATTTTGACGTTGCTTGTACAGGGCGTTAGTTATGCCCCATTCCTTTGATAAAAAGAGGAAAAACTTTTTTGCCTTTAGGATTACGGACATTGTGTATTTAAAATAGGAAAGAATGTCCTTTGTTTCATAAAAAAGTTACTCTCATTCGATTTTAAGCAACTTATTAAACTGATGCGACTTGACAACTAACTAGTGTATGAACCTTTCTTTGTTATTCAATGAACAGAAATTTAATATAGAAAAAAGTTATTTATAGAAAACAGAAAAAATTGGAAATTTAAGAAATATTGTTGTATACTTAGGACTAAAAATTACTAATTACTATAAAAATTGTTCAAAATGAGCACCCCCTTGCCTAGTACACTCACGAGCGCGTCTGATTAGTGATGGCTGTACTCTCCAAGTCATTTAAATATTATTTTTTATTTCCTGGCTGTGGTGGAAAATCCTTTGCAGCAGTTCATCTTCACTTGCCACACGAGTTGCGTAATCACTCCATTTCAAATCACCCCGGAAGTAAAAATCTGAAGGATTCAAATCTGGCGATCTAGGCGGTCAGGACGCTGATCCATCGATCTGGATAAACCATATTTAAGTGTTCCCTAACTCTTAAACTAAAATGAGTTTGTTGGGGAAGATCCTCTAATACCTTGGTTAACCTTTTCCAAGAGTCATGTGCAAAATTGTATACTTGCAGGATAGTCATCCCATGCTTAAACCTTGAACTTTTTGCATATGGTATGCGTGCAGAAGTTGTTCTTTGAGAATATTATTTACCGTGCATTTTGAAATCTGAAACTGTCCCGCTATATTCCTAACACTAACTGTAGGATCTTCGGCGACAGAATCTAAAACACCTTCTTCAACTTCAACTGAACGAATAGTTCTCTGAACTCCACCATGTCGGCCCATATTTGGCATAAAACTACCTTAAATAATATAAATGTGTTACAATTACAAGTTAGAAGCCCCTTGATCAATTCGTTGAAATGTTTTTGAATTCGATAGTTGTCTATTGGGAAATCTCTCAGCGTATAGCCTTTGAGCTCTCAATGCATTACATCGTGTTTCTCCATAAATTAAGTGCATATCACCATATTCTGTAAATGTATACTCCATAACTAGGTATTTTAAAAATATTACAACAATTGTCATCACGACACTTTAATTGTATCATAACAAGAAGTAACAGAAACCATAGTAACGCTATGTGCAGATATTGATTAATCCGTTATGATGTGACATCTTTTAATACAGTTTAGGATTTTCCACCATAGCCAGGAAATGGAAAAAATGATTTGACCAATTTTTACTTCCCCTTTAAGTTGTTTTTTTTATAAAACTGTAAATAATTTTGTTCATACACTAGTTGTTAAGTCGCATTAGTTTAATTTTACAATAAATTTACTTTAAATACACAATGTCCGTAATTCTAAAGGCAAAAAGTTTTTCCCCTTTCTATCAAAGGAATAGGGCATAACTAACGCCCTGTACAAGCAACATCCTAAATTAGTTAAAAATTCTTATTTGTCATGTCAAAAAACATAGTAGTGCCAATTTTTTTGTTCATACTATTGACAGTTTTCCAAGTTATTGAGGAATTTCAAAATAAAATTCTAACATTGAACGCCCATATCTTTGAAACCAGCAACATTTGCATAAGGCATATTTGGCTCAATCGACTTAATTAACTGACATCTTCTGTTTTAGAGCAGCCTTTCACTTTATACGGTTGAAACAGGATTGAAATTCCACCGACTATGGGCATTTGTAACAGTTCTTCAATACAGGAAGCTAGTGGTTTATCAAAAATTGGTCAGAATTCTTTTTTCACATCATTTACAGAAGTTTCTGCCCTTGAACAATTTCTTTAGATTACAGTGTCATTTACACAGATATAAAGACTAATGGTGTTTCTAATCAGAAGTAAAGTCAAATATGAGCACAACAGAACTTGGTTCCTTACAGAAATCGGAAATTTACTTGAGTTTTTTGAAGTTCACGGCAAGAAAGGTCTGTATGGACAACACTACGTAGTAAGTCGTGCTCTCCATATGGTGCAGATAGTTGCGGTAATAGTAGCAGAAATATGGCAACACTGTTACATTTCATATTTTTTTTTTTGTTCTGTAATATGACAAAACAAAACTTACTATTTTTGTGTACTCGTACATCGAAACATGAATTTTTGAACCATTAGAATAATAACTGTAACATAGTTTACCGACAGGGAACGGTGTTACAGGAAGATAGACACAATGTAATAAAGTAAGCATGTAGAGTTTAATCATATTTATTCATTTAAGGTTGCACTACAAATAATGTCCAAACCTTAATCCTAAGTCTTAATATTGTGATGATGAAAGATATGACAAACAAAACTTACTTAACATACATCGAAACGTGTATTTTAGAACAATTTGATTCTGATTTTCAAGGTCACTCTAAAAATTGTTGAACTACCAATCTGGACATAAAATTTTCCACTCTTTCCAAATCCGGTCTCAAAAATAGGGTTTCCCATTTAAAAAAATACCTTTGGCCTTCAAATGACCTTGAACATTGACACCAAGGTCAAAATTATTATTGTAGTTAGGTGACCACCCCCTTTGTCCTGAATACCTTTTCTCTGAACATTTTTTCTTATTCGGCTTAGCAACAGAGATATTCGGGTGCGTCGATTAAAATGAGCCACCCGGTATACACATTCCAGTATGACATGATCAGTGTTATATTCAAACTTGCAGCTCTTACATGCGTAATTCACACCTGCAATCACTTTTTCTACATCAATTGCATTTTCCTCAAAGACTCCTTATGCTTGGTTGTCAGCAAAACATACCAGTATAATTGCATTTAAGAAGGCTCTTTATGCAAGAGATTTTTAATAACGTTCCTACATTTAGTTTTGCATTCGCAGTCGTTACACACGAGATGGATATTTATGTTTCTGTTGGAGCATTTTTGATAACGTTTCGTAATTGCAATCATTACACTTGTACATTTGAACATGTAAATGATCTTATGCTTTTCAGTTGTTGCTGTTTGATAGCATGCTGGTATTTATTTTCATAATCGCAGTTGTTACACCTTTATATTTGAACCTGCAAAGGATCGTTATGTTTCAGTTGATGCCTTATGATATAACTCCTGTATTTAGTTTCGAAATTACAGTCGTTACATTTGTACATTTAAACCAGTGAAGGATCTTTATGTGTCAATTGGTGGTATTTGATATTACTCTTATATTTAGTTTCATAATCGCAGTCGTTACATGTGTACATTTGAATCTGCGAAGGATCTTTATGTTTCAGTTGGTGTGATTTAATATGACTCTTGTATTTAGTTTCATAATCGCAGTCGTTACACCTGTACATTTGAATCTCTGAAGGATCTTTATGAGTCAGTTGGTGCTGTTTGATGTTGTAGCTATATTTAGTTTTGTAACTGCAGTGGTTACACCTGTACATTTGAACCTCTGAAGGATCTTTATGTTTCAGTTGGTGTGATTTAATACGACTCTTGTATGTAGTTTCATAATCGCAGTGGTTACACCTGTACATTTGAATCTGCGAAGGATCTCCATGTCGGTGCCTTTTGGTAGTATTCTTGTACTTAGTTTTGTATTCGCAGTCATTACAACTGTACATTTGCGAAGGATCTTTATGTTCCTGCTGGTGTGATTTAATATGAGCCTTGTATTTACTTTCATAATTGCATTTGTCACACTTGTACATTTGAACCTGCGAAGGATCTTGGTGTTTCACTGCATGCTTTCTGATATTACCCTTGTATTTACTTTCATAATCACAGCGGTTACACTTGTACATTTGAATCTGTGAAGGATCTTTATGTTTCAGTAGATGCTGTCTAATATTATTCTTATATGTGGCTTCATAATCGCAGTGGTTACACCTGTACATCTGCGAAGGATCTTCATGTTTCAGTCGGTGCCTTTTCATAGTCTTCTTGTACTTAGTTTTGAATTTACAGTCATTACAACTGTACATTTGCGAAGGATCTTTATGTTTCACCTGGTGTGATTTAATATGACTCTTGTATTTACTTTCATAATTGCATTTGTCACACTTGTACATTTGAACCTGCGAAGGATCTTGGTGTTTCACTGCGTGCTTTCTGATATTACCCTTGTATTTACTTTCATAATCACAGCGGTTACACTTGTACATTTGAACCTGCAAAGGATCTCTATGTGTCACTTTGTGCTGTTTGATATACTCCCTATATTTAGTTTCGTACTCGCAGACGTTACACATGTACATTTTGGCATGTGAGGGATCCTTATGTCTCAACGGGTGCCTTTGAGGAAATCTCTTATTTCTAGTGTCATACTCACACGATTCACGTTTATACGCTTCTGAATCGTTCTTGTGTCTCGCACAATGTACTGTAAAACGACTCTTGTTTCTAGTTTCATAAATACATTTATCACATTTATACAATACTTTACACCCCCGCTTGGTTTTTGTATTACATTTGTTCTCCGATCCATTCCCATGTTTACATCGATCCTCTTCCGCATCTTTGCAGTCACTCTTCTCGAATGGTTCATTATCGGAACTCTGCAGTCGCGCGTCACTGAAAAAATTGCATATAAAATTCCATTCAAATCAAATAAAGGGTTTTAATGTAATATGAGTAAAACAAATATTTTTTGCTGCTGGTTAGTGGCATAACAAAGCAGCTTGGCACAGAGGTAATTTGCATTAAAATATATTTTAGAGGCTCTGTGTGGGTTCTTATGTGGAACAGAAACTGTCAGAGGAAGCGTGACAAAATTCTATACGTATTAATGAAAATTTCTGATATTTATCTTTAAAAATGTCGCTAACACAATAGCTCCATCATTTCCATTTGAAGTTTTGAAATTAAAGTTTCTATGTCAGGGCCTTGATCACGTGATCCCAGAGAACTCCAAACTGTCATCTAATATTCGAACAATAAGCGTTATGAGATGTTCGTGGTTAGATGAGCTGAGGCGGCCTCTTTGTGCAATTCTCGTTAAGAGAAATGGTAGTTCACAAAAGCTTAATATAATTTTTATATCTAAATTCAAAGCCTATGACTCACAGCAATTAGCCAAGAAAGTCAGGGCATTTTCCACTGACGAACTTAAAAACTTTCCCATATATTTATTAAAAATGAAAATAAAACATCGCAATTTATTTTATTATGATATTAATGAGTTCTTTGGTGAAAACTGGTAAAGTATCCTTTATACCCACATCCGATGTAAAGCTATACTGATTGTTTTGTCGAGATCTTATATTTTTTCCAAGTAATTTATTAACCAAGCTTTTGATTGGTCAAAAATCTTTGCACCATTGGTCATAACCAACGTAAGCCTATAATTTGTTATAATTTGTATATCCCCAATATTATAAACTGGTATAGTGATTAACTGCTTCCACTAGGACGATAAGACTACTTTTTGGTTATACGCTAATAATATGAATTAAAAATTTAACGATATACAGAGAGTGTCTCATAAATAATGTCGTGCTTTCAATCATAGGACACTATCCAACAACTTTTATAGGTCTATATTGTTTCCTTTGTAGCCTCAATATCCNATGAGCTGAGGCGGCCTCTTTGTGCAATTCTCGTTAAGAGAAATGGTAGTTCACAAAAGCTTAATATAATTTTTATATCTAAATTCAAAGCCTATGACTCACAGCAATTAGCCAAGAAAGTCAGGGCATTTTCCACTGACGAACTTAAAAACTTTCCCATATATTTATTAAAAATGAAAATAAAACATCGCAATTTATTTTATTATGATATTAATGAGTTCTTTGGTGAAAACTGGTAAAGTATCCTTTATACCCACATCCGATGTAAAGCTATACTGATTGTTTTGTCGAGATCTTATATTTTTTCCAAGTAATTTATTAACCAAGCTTTTGATTAGTCAAAAATCTTTGCACCATTGGTCATAACCAACGTAAGCCTATAATTTGTTACAATTTGTATATCACCAATATTATAAACTGGTATAGTGATTAACTGCTTCCACTAGGACGATAAGACTACTTTTTAGTTATACGCTAATAATATAAATTAAAAATTTAACGATATACAGAGAGTGTCTCATAAATAATGTCGTGCTTTCAATCATAGGACACTATCCAACAACTTTTATAGGTCTATATTGTTTCCTTTGTAGCCTCAATATCCCACAAAGGTGGACAACCAGAGCGCAATCGATCTTCAAATGTCAAATCTCCACTGTTAAAACGATTAAACCAATGCTGTGTCATTCGCTCATTAACCATGTCTTCCTCTTCAATTTCAGATGTTTTCCAGCGACGCTGGCTGTGTTTTATAGATTTTACTTTTTAGGTATCCCCACAAATAGAAATCAAGGGGCGATAAATCCGGTGATCGTGGAGGGCCACTCAATCCTGCCTCTTCTCCCAATCCAATTCCGTAGAAAACGTTGGTCCAAATACTGACGGACAATTAACGCATAATGCGGAGGAGCACCGTCCTGTTGAAAAAATCAAATGATCATCATACTCTGGATATCAGTCAAGGCAGGGTAAATAGCGTCTTCCAGTAATTGCAAATACATTTGGCCAGTCAAATTACCAGGTAGAAAAAAAGGAGCTACCAGCCGGTCACCGAAATTTGCAGCCCATACATTTAATTTTTCCGGTTGCTGTGTATGCACCTCGTGAAAAACTCTTGGGTTTGAATATGAAGGAAATAACCAACCCATAACTCCCGCTAAGAGCGCGGTATGGCCGACTTTACAGCCACAATTAAACACGGCATACAGAAAAATTTTTTTAAATGAACACTTCCACACAACACGCAACCACTTATATTCCGAATCTTTGGAACGTACACGTTGTCTTCTGACTTCCCCTTTTTTCCATATCGAGAGAATAAGGCACAGGTCTCTCGCAATTTAAAAAATCCTTTTTGAACCTCAATTTTCCATCTGGAAAATAGCGTTTCCAATAAAATACATACAGGATCATACATAGGAAACATTTCTACAATTATTATACGAAACAAATATTAACTAAGAACCATTATAATCGTGCACTGGGCGACGGGTATCGTATAAACTGTTAAAGGCAGGCGATGGACGATGCTGCTTCAATTTCTGCATCACTCGTTCACCCACGCCGTAGTTTAATTCCGTGATGGCCACGTCGTTGCCATGACAACTGCCGTAAAGAACGCTACGAAAAGAAACAGAATACAGACTGATTTCAATCTGCGTCACTTCCGTATACATACTTTGTATGGTCCGAGGTTGATGTTTGCTCTCGACGAAGGCAATATTTTTTCAAATCAAATTCAAATTATTATCAGTGACATACAAAATCAAAATCCCTCATATATTCTCTACTAAATAATTGTTTAATAGTACAATGTTTCCAAAGAGCGCAAAGTGACCAAAAGATAAATATGAGATATTTTTTCAACACCTTGTATATAACCCTCAACGGTAATAATTGGACAGGGAATTACGAAACATCTGCTCTGAACATTTGTCAATCTCCCGTGAATATTAAATTGTTAATTCTATAAAATAATAAGTGTAATATTTTTTTGTTATATTTGATGCTAATATTACTAATATAAAAAAGTTATTTGTGAAGTAATTATATAGTGCTATTTTAATTGTTATATGTAGTAAATATAGTACCTGTTTTGTCTTGTTATATATATATTGCCTTTTTATATGTTTTCTCTATGTAAACTAGATAAATTAAATAAATAATTATCTACATAAATCAATCACTTTTATAAACAGATATAAAAATTAGATTTAAAAACTAGTAAGACACACAATCAGAAAAATTAAATTGAACATTTTTTTTTAAGAAATCTTAGGGGGACTCCTTTGCCCTGAAGCCCTGCATTTCAAGAAGTACTACTAATGTATAAGAAATTTCAATTGTCTTACCATGCTGCTTTTTAGTTTCTATGATCTAGTCTTTCTTCTCTAATAATAATTTACAGACCGATTGTATTATCTGGACTTTTATGTCATCATCATTTACGCTTTGTTTGTAACTATTTGTGTTTTTATATCTGTTTTAACTATCAGACTAATAATTTAATTATTAGTAGTAAGAATTGTAGTTTGTTAACTTAACAACAGCATTTGTAAGATTTTGAAATTACATTTTTATTATTACGATTATTTTCCGTGCAAAGCTTAATGTCCCCATCTAAACATGTCATATTGCATCGTATTATTTTATATTATCGAATATCACTGCAAATACCACCTAAAAATATTAAAGTCCCATTCTCGATGGCAAAATAAATTTTAGAACGACGATTGTGGCTATCGCCATCCTTTCGACAGTAACCAAACTATAGAAATGTTGAATTGCAAAGAATTCCTTTAATTTTCCGCATGAAAACATTACGGAGAATATGCAAGCATCCAAAAGTGTACCTTTCCTGTTTTACCGAATTCATTTATGAAACTACTCAATAACTTCATTGAAGATTGCGCATAAAAACGCCCCCCTTAAAACGTCTTACGCCGCCAATAACCAAAGACAAAATGATTAAAATAAAGTAAAACATTTACACTCTTCATAGAACTAGAGAATTGTGTTAACAAGTTACACATGTATAAAATGAGGCATAGTAAAATTTTAGTTATGAAATCCGATTACTTATGACACCCTCTGTACTTGCGCACTCGTTTAATTGTATAAATCGTGACAGCACCACGACCAGGTCTGAGCCATTTTTTTAAAACTAATGCTCTAAAATAGTCTTCCCTTACCTTCTTTCCTCATCTTCAGATTTTATGTCAACACACTCAGTTTTGATCGACAGTTCCATCTCGCTAATATCAAACTCTTTATCCAGGTTTTCAGTCTTAACGAATAAATCAGATGGAGAAGTATCTATTCGACTTTCTGTGGCTGAATTATCACAAACCCCTTTAATTTTTTCCTCTACTTCTAAGCATTCTCTAAGGAAACTGTTGTGGGTACACAGGGAATCAAAACATTCTTTACATACAACGGGATCCATGATGATATTTATATTCTGGAAAGTAATTTTTTTAAGTTGTGATCAATGAATATATTTAACATGGTTCATACCATTTCAGGAGTCAATTTCTGAATAGCTTCGAGTTCCTCTTCACGTATGCACATAAACTCACTTTTTACCAAGTTCATACACAATCGACATATTTTCTGACTATCTGAAATTGATTCGTTTCTCTTTTCCTTCCTGTACACTTCCCTTATGTAGAGCTGTAACATTTTTTCGCAATCCACATGTGGTATAATTATGTTATCGGTATTCAGACATGTTGACTTGAATTCAAATGCTGCATATAATTTTCTTCTGCAAGCGTTACATATAATCTCTTTGCTCTCATCATCGATTTTCTGAAATATATGCAACTTTAACCAAACAGAAAGAAAATAACTGGCAGAAATTAACAATTATTGTCAAGTCGCAACACACTTATCTAATATCTTCACTGACTTACCAGTTTCAGCAAAAGAACATCGAAAATATCTCTAATAACGTTTTCTATTACTTCAAAACTTTTAACGATAACAGTTTTAAGGCAAAGCCTGCAGGGAATTTCTTGAATACAACCGTGACTTGGGTGGGTTGTTTAACCTCAATTAAATCATTGGATGGAAGGCAAGGCAGTGTCAGTGTCAAAACTCACAAACTGAAGTGAGGCAAATGTCATACCCGCAGCGTAAAATTATCGTAAATGGGACGGAATTATCCTACTTATCAAAATAATGTCTATAATGAATAAATAAATCATATTAAACATAATATTGATATTTCCCGACGGCGACAAGTAAATTTCGTAGAAAAAACAGTAAAAATACGATGATCAAATGATGCCTGGATGCAATGTTGCCAGGTCAAAAAACTGAAAATCACCAAACAGTTCCTTTAAAAGTTGCCAGATACGAAACATAAATTAAAACTAAATGTACCTACCTACTGTTTTAAAACAAGTTTTATTACAGATTAAATCAAAGTTCTTGACTGGAAAAAAAGATAGCTGTTGTTGATACTGAAAAATATAATAAATTGTAACCCTCAAAATTTATCAGTACATACTGTTATTATGCCTATTAATAATACCTGTTGTTACGAAAAGTTATAACCGCTGTTATTATTTACCGAAATTAATTAGTATGTAAAATGTTACTTAATGTTTTGGAGCCTAATTTATTTGGCAATTTTGTTTTATTTAAATTAATTTCATTCAATAACCTTTCCACATTTGCGCTGCGACTGTACCATTTTAACTTGTCCAATTTGTTGTGTTTTTTTTTTTAATATAAAGACAGTGTCAAAAGAGCTTTCTACAAAAGTTTTCACCATTTCACCAAATCTGGTGAATTTTTACCAAACCTGACAACATTGCCTGGAGGAAATGATAGACCCACGAGTCGGCAAAGCAGCACACGTTCCCTGGGGAAGGAATGAGCCAATAGATGGAGCTGTCAGCTAAAGAGAAAGAATTATTGCGTTATTGGCAATAACTTATTGCCAATCAGGGTAGGAATAAATTGAATATTCAAAATTTGCATAAAAACGGAAATTATCGTACAATCTGCGTGTGTATGAATACCCATACGTATTATAATTATCGTGCGTTGCGAACACTGAGGAAGTAGTTGATGCCTGTGAGGTAGGCAACCCACCTCACCGCAATATAAACTTTTTATCCGCGTTTGTTTTTGCCCCACTAGACTAAAAGTGTACTTTTTTGACTGGGTTTGACAATTTCAATTCTGCTAGCTATAAAGGGAAGAGCAACCCATAAGATTTTTTGAACGGCTATTAACGTTAAATTATGAACGTGTAACCGGCCAAATTCCTTGCCTCGGGGCTAGGTAAGATTCATTTTGTTTATTATATTGTACCTGATAACCTAACAGATCGACCTAGCCTTCTAGTGTGGCAAATTGAAAACCTTCCTCCAATCAGCTCACCCCCAAATCAGTATTAGTAAACAATAGAACTCAAGTGTGGTGTTTTGTTTTGTACCGAAGAAAACCAGTCCTGCTTCTGTCTCGGCTCATGTAATGTCTCATTGGCTCTGACTGTGTATTAAATTTTGTAATTTCTTTCATCTAGACATTTTCTGTTTTATCAAAAAAAAATATCAATACCTTTTCAATTTTATTCAAGGATTTTATTCAGTACGTCAAATTCTTGTAAATAGAATATCAAAGATGTTACATGGATACATCGATCAACCATATACAGGGTGTTTCAGTTCGAGTGAATCAAATTTTAACCACATATAGAACTCGATAAGTAATTAAGAATTGCCTTTTAAACCAAGGTTCTATGTCTCACCGTTTTCGCTCTACAGGGCCGTATTGATCGTTTTTTTACATCATATTATTTATGATATCTCTGGTATGGTTGTAACAATTTGAGATTCAAATCTGGTATGATGTTAATACCTACAAAAAATTTGTAAATTTTGCAGTAAATTATAGACATTCGTAAGTATTAAGTATTATATATTAAGTATAAGGCAATTCTTAATTACTTATCGAGTTCTATCTGTGGTTAAAATTTGATTCACTCGAACTGAAACACCCTGTATTCAGGAAGCTCAAAAATGGGCAAAAAAAATTAATTAACAATTAAATACAGAATTCTGTTTTAATCAACTACGTATATCAATTTACCCAATCCACCGTTGAATTTTGTTTTATACGTACTGAATATATTTTTTAAATGCATGAAATTATAGTTCTATCTGTGACTGACAAGGTAGAGTTTGTTTCTCCGTTTTGCTTGGAAATAGAAAAAAGTTGATACAGTGCATTCATAAATGCCCGAGTCCCACGCGACCGGATTGGTTTTGGTGCTGAGTAAATTTGGTTTTCTTAAGTCGGCGTTTCAGAAATTACCAAGGAAAAGTCACCAGAGGCGTTCGTAGAGATGCACGATGAAAAACTACCGGCACTGACAGTATCGTATTGTATTGTTTAAAAATAAGTGGTTCTGTCAAATACAGTATGAAAAAGTACCATTACATTCACAATCCGGCATTTATTCAGAGAATTTTATGCAACATGTTTATGTATGCAATTTTTTAATTAATGTAAAATACAATACAAACCTTCCAAATATTACATTTTAAACTAGGTATGAAAACACAAGATAAAGGGCATATTTAATCGCAATAGATTTCTGACCTGTCTGCAATTTGGGATACACTGAGTTTGAGTTTTTTTGCAATAAAAAAAATAGTACAATCACACAATTGACAAAATTGGAATTAAAAGTTTCACACATTTTAGCTATTTACCGCTAGTGGCGACCAAGCGTCCCGATTTTGTTTTCACAGAATCTGGCAATCCTAGACTATATTTTTTAATGTGTTTAAATTTAGCGAATGGACAAAATTTTAATAATGATCTTGTATCCCTCGTTTTTGACGGTTTCTGAATACTTTCTCAAGTTTTGTAAGTATATAGTACGGTTTTATAATTTATTATTCTAACATATATGTTAATTACTATTTATAGATGTTTTGAGAAAGAAATGCAAAATATCATTAATTCAAAGCATGTAGTCGTAACAACCGTTAATAATTGGAGGTATTCAGGCAATTATTTTTAAATACTGATTTAATAGCAACACACCTACATCAAATTAAATGTCACAAAAGCCTTACTTTTGATAAAATATTTCTTGTAACTGAACAGCAACTCACATAAATTGCTAGGCCTACAATTTTGAAAGTTATTATTATCCTTTAAAAGATATATCTTCAAATTTAGGTGTCTCGTAAGCTAGTGGTTTATCAAAAATTGTTCAGGGTTAGTTTTGCCGTTGAACAATTCCCTTAGATTGCAGTGCTATATTTATACGGCTATAAAGACGTTTCTAATCAGACGTAAAGTCAAATTTAAGCACAATAGAACTTAGTTCCTTACAGAAATTAGATATTTCCTATGGTTTTTCGAAATTCAGGGCAGGGAAGGTCTATATGGACACCCTGTGCAGTATGTCGTAATCGAGCTCTCCATATGGGGCAGATAACAAAGATGATAGTAGTAGAAATAAGGCAACATCGTTACACATTTTGTATTTTTTTTTTTTGTTCTTTAATGAGAAAAACAAAAGTTACTTTACTTTTAAATTTTAGAACCTTTAGAATAATGACTGTAACATAGTTTACTGACAGGGAAGGGTGTTACAGGAAGATAGGTACAACGTTATAAAGTAAGCATGTAGAGTTTAATTATATTTATTCATTTAAGGTTACATTACAAATAAAGTCCAAACCTTAATCCTAAGTCTTAATTTTGTGAGATACGGAAATTTTAATCGTTATTAATTAAGAATCTTTTCAAGTTAAAAATGAAAAGAGCATCAGCCTAGTCTTTAATCAAAATTATTTTATATTTCATAATTCACATACAATATACACTTTTTCTACAACATAAAAAAGTCTTAGTTCGCAAAATTGTTGCGTTAACGTAAAATTCAACAGTTTCCTATGCACACGGCACTATCCTCTGAGTGCGACCAAGGTACGTGAATTGAGTCCAGCGAGTTATTTTTGAAAATTACAAATAATTATGGATATTATTTCTTAAATCTCTCGATATATATTTTGAAAATCGTCTATATGGAAGGTAAGTATCTATTTTTTTTCATCGTAAACTGCATCGTTATTTAAAATACACATGTACACATTTATAATTCGCTCTGAATATTGCCATCGCTGTCATATTCACATTTGTAGCTCTTACATGCGTCCATTTGTAACTATATTTTGCACGAAGGATAGTAATCCACACCTGGGAACGTTTTTTGTGCATCAACTGAGGTCTCCTCAAAGACTCTTTATGTTTGGTTGTTAGCAAAACATACCAATTCAATTGCATTTAAGAAAACTTTGAGCTTCAAAACGTGATATTTAATACCATTTTTGTATTTAGTTTCGAAACCACCGTCATTACATTTGTACATTTGAACCTCTGAAGGATTTTTATGTGTCAGTTGGTGCTTTTTGAAATTCCCCCTATAATTAGTTTTCAATTACAGTTGTTACACCTGTAAGTCTGGACTTCAGATGGATCTCTATGTTTCCATTCGCGTTGTACTTATTTTCGAAATTGCAGTCGTTACACCTGTTCATTTAAACCAGCGAAGGATCTTTATGTTTCAGTTGGTGCTTTTTAATATTACCCTTAATTCAGTTCCATAATCGCAGTTGTTAAATCTGTACATTTGAATCTGTATATTCTCCCTGTATTTAGTTTTATGGTCGCAGTTGTAACACTTCTACATCTGGACCTGAGATGAATTTTTATGTTTCAGTTCATGCCGTTTGATACACTTCTTATATCTGGTTTCATAATCGCAGTAATTACACCTGTACATTTGAATCTGTGAAGGATCTTTATGTTTCAGTTGGTGCTGTTTGATATGATTCTTGTGGTCAGTTTCGTAATCACAATCGTTACACTTATACATTTGGACCTTTGACAGATCTTTATGTTTCAGTAGATGCATTTTGATACAATCCCTGTATTTAGTTTCGTAATAGCAGTCATTACATCTGTACATCTGGACCTGAGATGAATTTTTATGTTTCAGTTCATGCCGTTTGATACCGTTCTTATATCTAGTTTCATAATCGCAATAATTACACTTGTACATTTGAATCTGTGAAGGATCTTTATGTTTCAGTTGATGCATTTTGATACAATCCTTGTATTTAGTTTCGTAATCGCAGTCATTACATCTGTACATCTGGACCTGAGATGAATTTTTATGTTGCAGTTTATGTCGTTTTATACCCTTCCTATATCTGGTTTCAAAATCGCAGTAATTACACTTGTACATTTGAATCTGTGAAGGATCTTTATGTTTCAGTTGATGCATTTTGATACAATCCTTGTATTTAGTTTCGTAATCGCAGTCATTACATCTGTACATCTGGACCTGAGATGAATTTTTATGTTGCAGTTTATGTCGTTTTATACCCTTCCTATATCTGGTTTCATAATCGCAGTAATTACACTTGTACATTTGAATCTGTGAAGGATCTTTATGTTTCAGTTGGTGCTTTTTGATTTGGTACTTGTACTTAGTTTCGTAATCGCAGTCGTTACACCTGTACATTTTGATCTGCGAAGGATCTTTATGTTTCAGTAGATGCATTTTGATACAATCCCTGTATTTAGTGTCGTAATCGCAGTCATTACATCTGTACATCTGGATCTGAGATGAATTTTTATGTTGCAGTTTATGCCGTTTGATACCCTTCCTATATCTGGTTTCAAAATCGCAGTAATTACACTTGTACATTTTAATCTGCGACGGATCTTTATGCTTCAGTTGGTGCCGTTTCATATCACTCCTGTATTTAGCTTCATAATTGCAATCCTTACACTTGTACATTTTGATCTGTGAGGGGCCTTTATGTCTCAACCGGCTTTGAAGTAATTTCTTAATTTCAGTTTCATACTCACAGGATTCACGTTTATATTCTTCCGAATTGTTCTCATGTCTCGCACAGTGTGTTGTAAAATGGCTCTTGCATCCAGTTTGGCAAACAGATTTATCACATTTGTACAATACCTTGCACTCCTGCTTGGTTTTCGTATTACACTTGTTTTCCGATCCATTCTCATTTTTACATCCATCCTCTTCCGCAACTTTACAATCACTCTTCTCCGATGGTTCATTATTATTATAGGTCTGCAGTGGCGCATCACTGAAAAAATTGCATACAAAATTCCATTTAAATCAGACAAAGAATTTTGGTGAATATGAACCTATATTTTTTGCCAGCTTTGTTGGTTATCTTTATATATTTGTGCAATATTTTATCTAGATAATAACAGTGACTATAACAAGAATAAGACGGTCAACGAGGCCAATAGGCACGTACCCGCACAAAGTCGGTGAGTCCGGATAATACTACTAAAGTATGCTTCAGGAAGTGCTGCACCCTAATGAATTATCGCGCAACTCGACGTAAGCCAAAGCAGTTCACTGTAGTGCGCGTGCTGTAACTGAACGGCATACCATCAAGGTAAAATCGCACAACGCTGTGTTGCCGCTTACGCGCAAAACAAATTTGAATCTTTCGCGATGATACCGCGGTAATTACGACTACTCGTATCTACCCAATGATCATAGTTGTTACCAAGCAAAGCAGCTTTAATATTTTGATTTTTGAAATAAGCTTTGATTC